CAGTAATAGTAATAGTAACAGTAATAATAACAATAGTAAGTAAAACTAGGTGTAATGTCAGTGTTCGTAGTTTGCTAATCATCTGTTTTTAGATGGAAATGCGATTTGAATGCACAAATGTGGTGACAGCAACGGTGATAATTTTTCGAGTTTAGGGAACTTTTCAATTAACATTTGACAATAAAAGCTAAAGAAATTTCTATTTGCCGAAAAAAAAAATTTTTTTTGAAACAAATAAAAAATGAATGTTTTTCTATTAATTTTTCCTAATTTGAACTTTTAAAAGTTAAATAATTCGTAAAAATTCGAGCAAACAAACTTGAAAAAATTCCAAAGTGAAAGTACAGGAAACATTGTACTTTTAAATCAACAACTAAATCAGATGATATAAAAAATTTTGCTTGTTTATTTATACGTAAATATTGACACGTTAATAAACCGGTATTAGAGCTAAGATCGTGTCATCAGTTCTGTAACCAAGCCTCTGATGTAAACATCTAATAAAACTGGTCACTGAATTGGTGCAAATAATCGTTGTTTCTTTTTTTTTTTGACGATTTGTAAATCAATAGTCTTTACTTTTTTATGACCTACATATAAACTATAAAAGTAACAATGATAATGTTATTAGTAATTAATTGAGGTATAGTTATTACGACAAATGAAACTTGTTGAGAGTGAAAAAAGCAGAAGAAATGTTTTGGCAACAATTTTTGATTTTCACTGTTGAACATCAGAACAAAAATTAGGAGAAATAAGAAAAAATTTCCTATATTGATAAATATGTGACGTTTGGCCAGCAACAAGTTTCGGCAAATTTGAACCGATCCAGAGACATTTTTAAATTTTTTTTTTTTCTTTTCTTTTCTTACTTTCTTTTGCTAACATTTTTTCATTATTAAAAAGGTAAAAAAATTTGAAAAAAAGAGGACAGTTTCTACTCTCTATATAAAACTACACTTTTTTTGTATGGCAAACAGCACTTAAGCAAATTTTTGTTTTTTCTGTTTTTTCTTCCACGATCCTAATAAATCGATTCAGGTGACATTTTCAGAAATGTGGTAGTTGACTGGTAGTGTGACATATGGTATGCGGTTTAAAATTTTGTCTAATAAGTTCTGAAAATTAAATTTAAAAAACAGGAGCAGAGAAAGAACTGAAAAAAGCGCCAGACCTAACGGTTCGCCGAATAAACCGGGCGTCATGGCTGACGTTTGTAACACAGGTAAACAGGTAATTGGCGAACTATGAGTGGCGAGGTCTTTAAACTGCAAGGTCTTTCCTGAAATCGGCTTAACTGCGGAGAGGAACTGTACTTCCACAAAGTATTGAAGCAGCTGTTTGGATAAAACTGCCTTTGTTTTTTTATACATTAATCTTAAAAACGTAGACAGTCCGAGTACATATTTTATGAACGGGGTTCAAATTAAGCATTATTTGCAGTTTTGTTGTAACACGCTAAAGTTGAGCAACATTTTCAATCCATGAAACATTTTGGCAATCAATTTTCTGGAATTTCCATTGTTTGTTATACAGCCTGGTCGGCAGCAGGTTGTAACATTCTATGATGTATCATCATTGTGGTTCTAATTGTTAGATATAATTGATGGCGTTGACTGCAGAAAAAAAGGTAAGCTGTTCCTGAAAAACTTGTGTAATTTGTATGCCTGTTAGTGGCAAAACAATTTTTCTCACAAAAAAATTCTATCAAAAAAAGAAATGATAATAATAATAATAATAATAATAATAATAATAATAATATAATAATAATAATAATAATAATAATAATAATAATAATACTATTATTATTATTATTATTATTATTATTATTTTCATTATTATTATTATTATTATTATTATTATTATTATTATATCAATGATATTATAATAACAGTAATACCAATAACTAATACCATTATTATTATTATTATTATTATTATTATTATTATTATATAAAGAGTTGGTGCAAGACATCTGTTCACAAACTGTTGTAGAGAATTTCATAGTTTAGTGAATAAAATACATCGTAATGATCAACAAATAATGCATTAAACATTAGAAAGATCATACATCAACAAAATTTTAGTTTAAAAGAGGTATATCATCTTAGTAAATTATTATATCACCATCACGAATCAATTAAGGCACCAAAATTAACTTTCTTCTGAAGTAGAACGTGATATTGGCATTGGCATTACTATCGTACGAAAAAAAAAAAAGAGAAAAAACAAAAAAATGCTACAAGATGAATTTTAAAAGTAGAGACAGATAACTGTCAAATTTCTTATTTATGATAATGTAAAGTCATAGAAACAAGGAATTACTCTATTTCAAAAGTAAGCATTGATTAAAGTCCAACAGTTTGAGAAGAAAATATAAATATTCTTGTAGTTTAGAGGTTAGCGCTTTGTTTACTGGTACTACTAACCTCCTTAAATTTGAATGAGTGTAAGAAGTTTTTGGGAACAGAAGAAGTCGTAAGGCTCTATAAGAAATTGAAAAAACTCCGAAGAATTTAGTTTTTTCGTACAATTCTTAAAATGGCGAACAATGCTGATCGTTATAGTCGACTGTTTCACCTGCTGCAAACTACAAAACATAACCTTGTCATTCCGAGATTACCTCATATTTACACCTATTTTTCTTCTTTTTTCGGGTCAGCATTGTTCCACATCGTTGCTTCTAGCACCTGTTAAGTTTTTTTTTCAGTTCTCTAAAGATGGCAAATGCCCAAAATTGTACATTTTTAATAAGAATATTTTTTTTTTTAATAGAACAGTTTATGCTTTTTATATTTTTACATACTTTATCGCTATCTGAGTTTCTGCTGAGCAGTAAAAGATAAAAAAAATTTTTTTAACGGCTACTTGGCACTTAACTTGATAGGATGAGTACGGTTACATAGATATTCTTTAGATGAGGATTATTTATAGATATGTTAAATAAGGTCAAAAAGTGTTATCAGAAAGCATGCAAAAAGCCTATTGCAACTACTTTTTGAGCGTTAAAAATCATATTGAGCTATCCGATTAGCAGAACCATGAATACAGTCGTTTTTTACAAATAAGGCCATAAAGACCAAGGCAAAGTAAAAAAGACGGCAATGAAATACATGTCAGATGTATTTTAAACATTCTTTCAAGTTTTAATTTTTAAACATACACAGATATGCTACCAATATTTTAGCTGGGTCTTGAACTGAATACATTCTTCATTTCTGGTTCATTCAAAATTT